TAACATCGTCAGAGAGGGTTATCCGTTCGATGCCCTTCGAATCTTCTCTTCTCCCTCTGTCTCTCTTTTTCTCTTTCTCTCTCTCTCTCTCTCTCTCTCTCTCTTTCTGTCTTAATCTTTTTCTTTCTAATATCGTTCAAATGTTATTATTCTCGCAACATTCGTATGGTGATTAATCAGTGAATTTTTTTTATATATAGCTACATATAGATACATGTTAATTTATATGTATGTGCATATATATATATATATTATTAAAAATAAACGTATTGTCAATATTAGATTTGAAGCGAAAAATGAGTATTAAAAGAAAACGGGGAGGGGGGTGGGTGATGGCAATAGGGGGTTCGAAAATAAAATGTTTTCGATTCTAAACTTCCGTTTAATGTTTCTCCATAAATCCCGTAAAATATTTTCTCTTTATGCAGTTAAATTTAAGTAGATAAAAATTAATTTATTACACGTCTCATTCTTTTGTCGTATTCTTTTACTTTTTTCAATTTACCATTTCTACTCTGAAATTTTCTAAAAAAATGAATATCTGAAAGGGACATTCACTCTTTTAGAAAATAATTTCTAGGCGTATCTAAATAGGTATATAAAATTATACAGCCTGTATTCTTATTGGTCTACAATATGTCCTCGGTTATCCGTGTGAATTTTCTAGTCCTCTTCTTTCGCTTTTACCGTCACAATGGTCGACGATCTTCGACGCGCCATTTACCTAAAGGGAAATAGAAGTTCCGAAGAGGTAGAGAAACTTTCCAAGGAAATGATAAATGATATGTGTGTGTGTGTATGTGTGTGTGTGTTGGTATATATTTGTTTTTTATTTAGTTTTTATTTTTATACCCATTAGATTACACGAGTGTATTTATTTCTAGAGAAAGAGAGAGAGAGAGAGAGGAAAAGGGAGAAAGAGAGAGAGAGAGAGAGAGGAAGAGAGAGAGAGAGTAAATCGTTTTTTCCTGTTAAAAGAGAATATACGCGACACTTTAATACAATTCCGAAGAAACTCGGTTTCCGTTTCTTCATTCTACCTTTCTACCTTTTATCGTCGTTAAATTCTCTAATTATCTATAAACGTCTTTTAAAAGATGGACAGATACGTTTTCTTCAAGTCAAGATTTCCTTTCCCGTAAGGAGTCCGGAGAACCGGTTTATACAGGTTCGACTACTCTTTTTCTTTAAAAAAAAAAAAAAAAAAAAAAAAAAAAAAAAAAAAAAAAAAAAAAAAAAAAAAAAAAAAAAAAAAAAAAAAAGAAGAAGAAAAAAGGAAAAAAAAAACACTTTTCACAGGACAATCTGATTTTCATTAATCGAAATGAAATTTCAACGATCGTTATATCCGTGATTTAACCTTTAAGTTGTCACGAAGGGAGGAAAGATAGAAAACTGGAACGCTTAACGGTTCTCTAAACGGCACGCGAAAGGGATCTCACAGATCAAACTTAGAAAACATTCTAATCGATACGGAGATCATTCGAAGAATTGTAATTGGAATTGTTATTTCAAATTCTGCTAATTTATTCATACTACGAATGCTCTTACGAGATCGCGACCTAATTTAATTTTGTATTAATAGTCAACGTTTGGCAATTTGGCCACTGGCCAATTTCTATTTCTCGGTAAATTTCGGAAATGGTAAATGCGAATTTTAATAAGTCGAGCGACGAAACGAGGGTTCTTACTTTTTCTTTTTTTTTTGTTCTTTTTTTCTTGTCTTTTTTTTTTTTTCTTCTTTTCGATAGGCGGCCCTTCGCGGCCCATTATGGATCTCATGACGGAACCGCGATCTCGCGAATTACTTTGTTTCATTTTATTTTATTTTTTTATTTTTTTTTTTGATTCTTTTTATTCCTTTTATTCCTTTTTATTCCTCGACGTTTAGCTTTATTAATTAGACGTGCGTGATCATGACATTCGAGATCGGATAAGACAATATCACTTGGATCTGCTCGGGAAATCTTTTTGATTCAATCAACGACACGAGTACATAAATTTACGGATTATAAATATTACCGACTATTTGTACGTGGATATATATATATATATATATATATATATATATGTCTTAACAAATAAGTTAATGACTATTTTAACGAATTAATCGACATGAAATATTTATATTCATTATTATACAACAACTACGATCATTAACATTAGACTACACGATTTTCATAGATCCTTCTGCGGATATATCAATCTATCATAATGCTTTATTATAATATTATTCAACAAATTATTATTCGTTATCTTGAAAGAAATTTTCCAAAGAAATACATATATATATATATATATTTATATATATATATATATATATATATATATATATATATATATAGATAAATATTTTATAAATATATTATCAATTTATTACATAGGTATGTATGTACGTATTGATAAATATATATGTTCATACGTGTATATTTTATCGTTTTAAATTATAGTTAATCTTTCATTATATTGAAATATGTGCGTTAATGATTAGAGATAGAAA